GAGTACGTGCGGCGAGGATGGGCATTGAGGGTTGTGGGGCCCTCCCTTGGAGAGTGGATCGGCGAAAGCTGAGATCGTGACTACTGGGAGCAGGTTTGGGCCATTAGCTCAAATTGCAGGAGCGATAATGACTTCTAGATGTCGTCCCCACAGTCGGCGTCAAATGTTTGAGCTCGAAAGCGCTGAGCTCAGCTAGGTAGTAGATCGGAACGTACAAGATGAGCTATTGGCCGCTGTTCCACACCTTCCCAGACCACTCACGAGACCTGCAAAACAAAGTTAGCACTCCGACGAGCGAGTTAGTTCTAGTCCGAGCTAACTTGTTGATTTTATCTAGGATTGCGTACCTTTTATTTAAGGCTAGGGTTTCTATTTATAGAAACTGGGCCCGACAAGAACTCTCACACACCTTAAAAATACGGCGTGTTGTCGGGTTCGGAAGGGACACGTTTACGAACTCCGCTTATGGTCGGCTCGGCTTCTTAGCTCGTTCTTTGACCACCGACCTAAACGTCCTTAGGTCAATTCCCATATTTCGTCCACATGTCAATTCCACTCGCCTCTCTGATCATGACATGTGGCAGGCCAAAATTCGTATCGAAGATTATATTTTTTTTAAGTACAAACATGTGAGGTTGATATTGGAACTCATTACCTTTTGGTCAGAGATATAGGAGCGTTAACTAGTTAAACTATGCTCAGATTAGCTTCTATCTATTAATATTTAGTACATAAATAACTAAACTCTCATTCAAGATTAAATCAAATTCTAAATTTTAAATTAAATTATTGATATACAATTAAATACACTAAACTTTATTATTTTGTACGGTGAAATAAAATTAAAAAGTTTCAGATGCAGTTGATGATTGGCTAAAAATTAAAAAATAAAAAATACAAATATCAACACATAAAGAGCTAATATAAAAATATATTATAGATATACTTTATTGGAAGAAACTCTACACCAAAAGAAAAAAATACAAATACAAATTATTTTCTGGTTTTATTTTTCTTTTCTTTAATTTTTATATCTGTGAGTGCCTTGGACGAACACCTCTCTCCCGTCTCAATTTACACAACCCTGCAGAAGAATGAGCTACCCATCAAAGTTTAAAAATACAAATCCTTCAGTTACAGACAATGAACTTCCATTTCTCTCTTTATCCAAATCTCCCAATTGTGTAAACAAATTTCAAAACTGCGACTCTGACCTTTGACAAGTGACGTGAGTGGTATAAGTGGCAAAAATAAAGCCACTCAAAGTAAAAACTTTAATTTATTAGTGTACCACAACAATTTGAATACAATTTGAGATTTGTCGCTATTGATTATATAAAATGCTTTTCAGCAATCTATTTGACTATAAAGAAAGCTCAGTTGGTTTGGGGTACTTTGAACTTAGAAAACAATCAAAATAATTTACACGAGTTTGCTAATATGAAGACGTCACTCCAAAATATATGCAAATGCACTCGTCTGGATCATTTTCATTCACGTAAATTCACTCGATTAAATATCCTTTTTACTATTAAGTGAAAAATGAGGATACGAGTAATTTATCTATGACAAATGTCTCCTAAAGAATAATGACACATTTAAGATTTGAGATCAAAACCCTACAAAAAAAAACATCTTATAGTTGAGTTGTGTTCAGATTTAGATCAAGTCTCTCAATTTTGCAAAACAATTAGTTTTTAAATTATTTAACATAAACACAATGCATGCACCTATTTTGTTCATTTTTTATCACATATCTTAAAGTGTCAAATTCTAAAATATATCTAGATTTTTTTTCCGTAAAATGATTAGTACAAAACATAAATATAGAATTTTCAAAAGCTAATACTTCAAATAGAAAGTGACCAAATATTAGAAAAGTAAATTGTCCCCACGGTAAACGTCCAAGGAGAGACTTGTCTTTTAGTTTATTCATCAAAATTAAAACACTTCTAATATACTAGTTTTAATTAATTTATTGGTAGAGATAAGGGTTTTATCCGTTACATGTAACTCTAGCCATCCAAATAAGACTTAAATGGTGAAATGCAACCTAACTCAAATAAGTGAAGCACTTGATACCATCCACAAAAAATTGAGTATGGATTTTCAGCCCCACATTTTTTTTTTGTCATTATTGTCACATGCTTTAAAATGTGAGCAGTTTTGTTCACATAATGGATATTTAATTTTCAATTAAATTTTAAAAACAAAAACTGAAAATAATTACGAAAGGACACCAATGTTCAAAGCAATGACCTCCTCGTACAAAGTTGGCGTAAGCTGCTGGCTTTACATAAAGCCTCAGGCAGAGCAGCATTTGCAGAGCAACAACAATGGCGGAGGAAGTGGATAACAAGCAGGTGATCTTAAGGAATCCCGTCACCGGTTTTCCCAGAGAATCGGATTTCTCAGTCACGACTTCCACCATTCGATTGAAGCTTCCAGA